CATAACATACAGTACATCTTTAAGACACATTATGTGGAGAACAGAAAAATTCAGACATCCATAACCAAAACATAATTTCCCTATTTCAAATTGAAAAGTGTTATTTCCTTCTTTAGATGCACATAAATGAGATGCCCATTTTCAAACAAATTGCCAACAAAATAATCACAAAGTCTTGAATGAGTCAGATAAATGTAACCTTACACTTGAAAACAATCACACTTAACTCAAGCAGAGCTGTTTCACCATCACCATACAGTCTTTTGATTGTTTCAATTGCTCACATACTTCAGCACAGATAACCTATTGCAGCAATGCACTTCTCATCCACACAAAGATAATGTTAATTTACAGACGATTGTTACTCGTTGGATATTCAAGAGTATGCATCTTGAAGAAAATGAAATTTCCAGGGCCCCACTAGAGCTTAACGGTCAAGCTGTGATGGATTTAAAATCCTCTGGCAGCCCCACTTGTCCATGTCTCTTTGTTTGAGAGATGTGGGTTTTTTTGCAGCCAAAAAGATGTTTTAAACCAAAACACCCCTTTCACCCCTGTTTCCTTTCAAGTGTTGCATTTCAGCTGAGATATGCGAATGACAGGAAAAGTGGTGGGCAGAGAGACCTCGCTGCTTTTGGTAAACATTACTTTCTCTTGCCAATCTGTTTGATGCTATCATTCCAGACCCAGAAATAAGGCACAGCTCCAGCCACCTGCCTTTTTGGTCTGCTAGGACTATGGATCTTTCAAAATCAGCAGAGCCGAGCGATTGTGGGAAGCTTTTTTTAGATTTTTAAAACATTTTTTCCCTGCTACTTTGCCCGAACCGGCAGGGGAAAAATGCTTTAAAAAGCTAAAAAAATAGGTGAAAGTAAAAAAAAAAAAGTTGGCCTGCCCACCCAGTCACATGAACCCACCACCACCAAGCCATGCTTGGTGGTGGTGGGATTAGATACATCCATCCTGTATAAAACATATTTTACAAAAGTTGATGAAATGATTAGCATGCTATGGTTATATGTTCAAGCAGCCACACCAACCTTATTGAGAAACCTATTTTACAATACCAATATCCACCTAGCAATTTGGAAGTTGGGGCTGAGAATTAACAGACTGAATGGTAATAGTCTATCTACCCTGGGATATGGGTGACCACACTCTTCTTGGAATCCATTCTACGTACCTGGAAAAAAACTGGGATAAGCCACAGAGGCCAGGATGAGAGATGTAAACAAAGACAAACATCTTCCCCAATATAGCCCAGGTAGATGGCTACCTGGGTATCTTCATCTCAACCTTCATTTTTGATTTGACTTGAAAGAGATGCCTTGGTCAAAAAATCCCATAAGATAATTACAACCTATGTTAGGTGAGACAACATTCCCACTTTGCTCAGATATTTGTACTAAGGTTTAGATCCCTCTCTCCAAGACCCACATGATTTCAACTACTTCTTCTTTCCTTGGGAGGTAGGAGAAATATGAAGATGCTATGAAGAGACAACACGGGGGAGTTAGAATCCAACCCTTACCCATTCATTGTAGGTTCAGTCCCATCCCTTTCTTGTTTTTAGTTCCAAAGCCAAATCTAACAGACTAATACGGAATAGATACCTCACTTGATAAAAACACAGTTATCCATCTTTATTTTAACGAACCTGACAACAAAATCACAGGTAATGTTTCTAAACCCATGACCAACTTATGTAACTGCAAAACTAGTCTGAATTATACCAAAATAGTTCTGATGCCATTTACCGGTAGATGAAACATGTGTTGTTCAATCTAAGCCATAGACCCATTAAACATACAACATGGGCAATGGTGGGATTCAAGTAATTTAACAACTGGTTCTCTGTTCTAATATTTCTTCCAACAACCAGTTTGTTAAACTGTTCATAAAGTTAACAACCAGTTCTCCCAAACTGTTAAGAACTGGCTGAATCCCACCACTGAACATGGGTGCTCTATGATGTATGTGCGTCTTTTTCAAAATTCACAGCAATGCCAGTCCTTACAGTTTAAACATGCAGAGTTCTAATTCCTTTTTATATCTATTATACCAATCCAATTCAACATGTATCTACTGTTTGATTGTATTGTATTTGTATTGTATTATATTTAATAGATTTATAGGCCGCCCAATCCCGGAGGATCCTCATCTGTGATCCTCATCCTTGATCCTCATCTGTGTTCAATCACAATTACACATCTACAAGTGAACCTACACAATTTACTTGGGTGTTGATGTGGCACTCTGCAGTTTCCACTTATAAGCTGAGAAACAGAAGCAGAATATTAATGTGACCAATTTATGTATGAACACAAAGACAGATACGTCTTATGGATCTTTCCTCTCCTTGAAGCCTTATTTCTAGAACCAAGTTCTGAACCATTAGATAGAATGAGATATTTGGGATGTTCCTGGTTACTCTAAAGAAACAGGTTTTCAGAAAGATAGAGAGAGATCAAGACTCAAGAATCTAGCACATCTCCACCTTTGTACATTCAAAATAGATCAGTGTGGAGTACCACAGGATTCAAAACATCTACTAAGACAAATGCTTGCTTGGTTCCCACAACAGATCTGGCTATAAACTGCCCAACCCTGTTGTGTAACTCTACCCATAGTAGATTAGCTTCTGGTTCCATCTGTTTGACTTTGCTAATTGATCCAGTTTTCTCCACCTGGATTGACCCTACAGTTCAGGGCTCTGGCCTAGTGTCCCATGTGGTCTACATGGAGCTACTTTCCATGACTAAAGGGGACCTAACTACAGCTTTGTCTCCAGTGTCACACACACCCCTTGCACACACACACACCCCTAAGAGCCATGGTAGCACAGGGGTTAGAGTGCAGTACTGCAGGCTACTTCTGCTGCTCACCGGCTGCCAGGCAGTTTGGCAGATCGAATCTCACCAGGTTCAAGGATGACTCAGCCTTCCATCCTTCCAAGGTTGGTAAAAGGAAGATCCAGATTGTTGGGGACAACATGCTGACTGTAAACCATTTAGAGAGGGTTGTAAAGCACTGTGAAGCGGTATATAAGTCTAAGTGCTAAGAGCTATTGCAGTCATGTGACATTTCAAAAAAAAATTGTGCACCAAACCAGTAGTAATGCCGGCAGGAACCCACTCCTGGATATGATACATAGCAAACTAAAATTGTTCCAGACCTTCTTTGTTGGTTGTGCAATACTTAGCCCAAGCGATTACACCATTGTTTTTTCAGAGATGGAGCATTGTAAAACAACCTGACTTTCATTCATTCCATGACTGCAGATGACACTTTGATGGGAGAAACATTCAGACAGAAACAAGGCTTTCCCTGCTGAGAATCAGGAAGCTCCCCAGAAGCAGAGCAGATAAAAAGAGAATACTTCTCTGTCTTGCCTATTATCCTGTACCTTTGCTTTTTTTTTTTTTTTTACTTAGTGATAATTGCCCTTTTGCATCAGAAGGGGGATGAAAGTAGACAATTAAGCACTAAATGGGAAATATGACAAGCAGGAATAAACAGTTTATTGAGCGAGGGAAGCAGGCAGGCAGGCAGCCAGCTTCTGTCTGGATTCTCAGATTATCCTTTCAGGTCTTGGCTGCTGGCTATCTTCAGCATCCGTCAAACACAGGTACTGGATTAACTTTATTTCCCTAGTGCTCCCTCGCCTAAGAAGGATTTCTTCAGTAGTTTTAGAAGAGCTTTTCCACCAGTTATTTCAGTCTATAATCCACCCATGAGTGGGTTTTTAAGAGAGTTTTAGTCACTGTAACTCAAAGTGTTCTTTGTAGTTAGCATTTGGAAAAGGATCAAATTGGGTTTAGTCAGGGTCTGCGATTGTTCTTATTTTCTTTCCTGGGCTACTATGGGAAGAAGGGCATCACAGAAATAAAATTAGTCAAGGCAGTTACCTCTTAAATCCCAGAATTGAGATCTCTTAATTACTAAACCTACCTAAAGGAGAATGTAGGGGCTTTGGAGGAAAGGTCTCTAAAGTCTAACCTGCCCTCATGACTTTCTAAACCCCAAGTGTATATACTACGTGCCCTAAGCAAGATAGATAGATCTTGATTTAAAATGCAATGTGGCATCCAGAAATGCTAGAACATCACTTAGGGTGGTATAAATAGACCTCCAGAGGACATATATAGACAGATGGGTGAAATCTTGTAAGGTAGCCAAGACTCACATTTCAACATAAAGTCTCATGATATTTTGGCACAATACAGCATTGTAGATTTGCACAATGGTGACTGCTGCTCTTGATACAAGAATGGTAGCTTCTTCTGAAAATCCATAGCTTTTGGGGATGTCAACAACCTCTCTGTTTGCCAACTACAACTGGGTGAATGAAGTTTGTAACCAGAACCTCCCCTATCAACCAGCTGGTGCTTTCTTCTCCATGCCCTAATTTCAGTTAATCCTTGGAAGCATGAGACCCTTCCAAATCATCTATAGGTGTTCAAAGCTGCTTTGTCTTGTCCTCACTTTGGCCCATTCCAGGAATGGAAAAGCATTCGGATTGGCTGCCCTTCTGACAGCCTAGTATAAAAAAAGCTGTCAGAGGGACTGAATCCCCGCTGTTGTTGTGAGCCGAGCAACCATGTTAGCCACTCTGTTAGCGTTAATAAAAGGTTAGAGTTTTACTTCAGTCTTGCCTCAGTGTGTCTGCCGCTGTTCTGGGTACTGAACAATTGGCGACGAGGATGGGATCCATCCCAGATTGAGGCGCTAGATGCGAGCTGTCACTAAACCAAGCTGAAGTCATAAACGACCCTTCCAAATCATCTACAGGTGTTCAAAGCTAGCCTGGTTATGGAACCTCTAGGCTTGGTTTAGTTTTATTCCCATCTCCATTGCACCCAACATGTCAAGCTGTTCACTTGATAGCTTCTGAGATATCCCTTGTTAAACGGGAAAGGGCATTTACTTTCCCTCTGACTTACAAACACAGACCGGTTTCTGAGAAGACCACTGGCTACTTTTTTGACAAGTGATTGTTTTCTGCCCCTTCAGTTCAAATGCAGGCTGGCAGTCAAAGGTCAATGAGTCTCCGTGGCGAAATGTTGACCCTTCTCTCTTGCCATATGCCAGCATTCCGGGATCTCCACAGCTTCCCTGGTCAATTTCTAGAAGAAACACAAAGAAAGATACGAAAATAGGGAACATAAAGGAAATCTTTGCATGCAATTTTTTTCTCTGGCATTTTATTCTTGCTATCATAGGAATTCTTTCAATAAGGATTAAAAAAACCCAAACCTACTCATAATAAAAATAGGTCAGGGTTGTATGCTTTCATAACGCTTTGGGAAAACTTCTAATATCCTGGCAGAAGTGTTGTACCTTATGATTCATGACAAATGTATCTTATCATTTTATGTACACTGAGAGCATCTGCACCAAAGACAAATTCCTTGTGTGTCCAATCACACTTGGCCAATAAAGAATTCTCTTCTGTTCTGTTCTATTCTCTTCCATTTCATTCCATTCCATTCCATTCTCTATTCTATTCTATTCTATTCTAATTCTATTCTATTCTATTCAAGTCAGCTGTAAAGAAGGACCAGTGTATGACCCTCCCAGCTCCTGGCCACATTCTCTACTTAGTCTATATTCTTTGTTTGATTTTTCAGGCAATTCTTGGGAAATTAGTCCATATACAGAGTTGGAAATAGAAGAAAAGGATCAAAAAATCGAGATTGAAGTAGATGTCACAAAAGACTCCGTACCTGTCATTCTTCTTCTTCTTCTTTTTAAGTTTATAGACTACAAGATGTTGAAGGAAGAAAAAGAAGAAAGACAAATGTACCAAATTTCCCCTAAAGATAAAGCTATTCAAAACTGTCATGTGAATCACTGAAATGATATGAATATTTTCCTTCTGTTCTTCTCTGATTGCCAGGTTGAGGAATTAATACATTGCATTGATAAAATGTAATTTGCTTGGATTTTATTCTAGGGTGTGGCTCAACGCCAAGCCCTAACACTGAATTACGTCTTAGAACGTTGTGTTCTTGGGCTTCATTCAGCCAAGGAATGAGTATCAGCATCCAAAGTGGGAGAAGTGCTACTGACTTGGTACAGGTGCACCTGCTCTATCTGTCAGCACCACCTTAGAAGGAGACACACCATTTCCTGATCTTACAGGGTAACTGCAATATTCCCAAACAATGCATGTTTCAATTCAGGAAATGTCAAGAGCATAGAGACAGGTAGAGTAAAGGTGTATATGTTGGTCCTGAAGCACTTTTCCCATTTCAGATCCAAATACCTGCAGATGCCTCTCATCAGGGATGTTCACTGGGTGTGGTCAAAAAGTCAAGATCATCACCAAACAATACCACAATGCCAAAGTTCCACCTGTTTTTTTAAAAAGTAAAAGTTTGCAATGCACATAAAAATAGATGGAGTTTCCATTGTATTATTGTGACAGCTATCTTGTCATTTTTTTAACCAGAAGTGAAGACCTACGTGAACCTTTTCTGCACCGAAACAGGAGCGCACACACCAGGGGAGTACCGGAAACTGGAAGAGCAGCTTCCCAGTGCGCTTGTGCAAGAGCACCATAAACTGGAAGAGTAGTTACCTGGCGCACACGAGTACACTGGGAAGCTGGCCTTCTAGTTTCTGGCATGCACATGCATACCAGTCACCTGGTTTTCCAGTTTCTGGTGCGCATGCAAAGACCAGCTGACTGGCACACATGCATGTGCCAGAAACCAGAAGCTCAGCTTTCTGGCACGTGCATATACTGGCGAACCGGTAGTGGCGGCAGTGCGAGGCTCTGCCCACCGACCCAGATGTCATCACGGACCTTCTGCGCATGCACAGAAGGTTCTGCACATGCCCAGACATCCTGCACACAAGGAAAGTGAGTGAGCAGGAATGGTAGTGATACCATTACTGGTAAGCATGGACAAGAAGGGAATATGAGCCCTGCTGCCGTATATAGGATAGGCTGAAGAGACAATTAGAGCAGTGATTCCCTCGAGGGTTTCTATTAGATGATGCGTCCAAAGCTCTGCTTGTGTCACACATAAAACATTGCCTTTTTTAAAAATCATACCCTGCAGTCACCCTGGCCATTTTTCATTATCCAGTTTGCTTTTTGTCATTTGAGAAAACCAGTGTGAAAAATCTTAACTCTCTTTCTCTTTTTAAAATTTCTTTTGAGAGATCTTCTTTAAAGAGAAATGTTGTGTTATTGAAGATTTGCAGCCATCCATTACTGATTTGGACACAAGCTGACTAGCAATAGGCCTTTTTTCCCTAAATAAAATTTAACTGAATCCAGAAAAGTGACAATGCTTTTGCCAAAGAAGCTAGGCACAGAGATGGCAATGACAAAATGACGGGGGGGGGGGGGGGAGTGTGAGAATTCTTTTATTCTGCTAAGATGGCCTCATTCTGACAGAAGGTTGAACCATATTGTGCTCTATTTGCTTCTGACATAGCATATTATATAAAAAACATTACTATGATTAAAAGTTTTTCCAGGCTATGGTTTTTCCAGTTGCAATGTATGGCTGTGAAAGTTGGACCATAAGGAAGGCTCAGCACCAAAGAATGGAAGAACACTCCTATGAGTCCCTTGGACTGCAAGGCAATCCAACCAGTCAGTCCTAGAAGAGATCAACCCTGACTGCTCTTTAGAAGGCCAGAGCCTGAAGAGGAAACTCAAATACTTTGGCCACCTAATGAGAAGGAAGGACTCACTGGAGAAGAGCCTCATGCTGGGAAAGATTAAGGGCAAAAGAAGAAGGGGACGGCAGAGAAGGAGGTGGCTGGATGGAGTCATTGAAAGCCATCAGTGTGAGCTTAAATGGACTCCATAGGATGGTAGAGGACAGGAAGTCCTGAAAGAATGTTGTCCATAGGGTCACGATGGGTTGGACACGACTTTGCAACTAACAACAACAATGATTAAAAGTCACAGTTAAAATGTCCCGGGTAATATAATAGAAGAAACACAGCCCTTGTGGATGATCACTCACACATTTATTTTAATGCATTCCTGCATTAAATAGATTAAACCGGAAATAAAGTTAATATTTTTAAAGATACTTGGCTAATTGGTGCAAGCCTGAACTACTTGACTACCTAACCAGACTGGTGGTAGAGTTGCCAAGGGTTTATGGTTCTAGGAGATTTCAAGTTGCCTTTTCTGAGAGTGGCATCTGGGCTAATGCAGGAGTTCATGGCTACATGACAGCCATCAAACAAGGAATGTGATAATACACTGGATCTGGTCTTCATTCAGATCTGGAATTGGGTGATTTCTCTGTTACACCCTTGTCACAGTCAGATCATTCCCCGGTAGCTATTGAGGTTTTCTGTTGCCATTTCTCACCACAAAGAATTGGGACCTAATTTAATCAGAACCTCACAGGGAGCAAGTACCCCTGACAGGTTGCAGAAGGATCTTGGAGTTGTTCCTGATGGTGTGTTCCATGATCTGATTGAGGCTCTAACTGCTGCCTGAAATGAAAGAGTGGTGGAGGCTTTGGATTGGATCACATCCATGTGACTTCTATCCATCCATAGATCCCACCAGGTGAAAAGATTGATACCAGTTTTCCAAGACAGGACAAACTTTGAAACCAAAGAAAAATAAGTTTCTGCCACTTTTTAAGGTTATAATAATAGAAACCTGCAAAATCTTAATGTATTTTCCCTCTGCTCCCTTTGTCTTCATGAGAACTAGGGAGAAACATGTCTGAGATGCTTTCTCAGATTACTTTTCTGCCCGAAATTCTAATTTCTTTTCTTTAATATTGTCTTGGTTGTGGCTCATGAGTCATGACTTCTGCTCAAAGAGCAGGTGGCAGCTCTAGCCTGGAGGGCCTTTGGTTAAGCTTCATATTGTGTATCATTTGTACTTTTTCTCAATCATTTCCACCCTGGACTCATCACCAATGGATTGCTGTAATGTGATTTACATGGGGCTGCCCTTGAGGAGTGTGTGGAAGCTGCAGTTCATGCAAAATGTGGTGGCACAGGGAGTTATGTCTGCTCCTCAATCAGCACACTTTACATCTCTGGTTTGTCAGTTGCGCTGGCTACCAGGATGGCTTTAGGTTCAGTTCAAATTGTTGGTAGGCAAAGGTAAAGGTTCCCCTCGCACATATATGCTAGTCATTCCTGACTCTAGGGGGTGGTGCTCATCTCTGTTTCAAAGCTGAAGAACCAGCGCTGTCTGAAGATATCTCCATGATCATGGGCCAGCATGACTAAACATTGAAGGCGCATGGAACACTGTTACTTTCCCACCAAAGTGGTCCCTATTTTTCTACTTGCATTTTTACATGGTTTCGAACTGCTAGCTTGCCAAAAGCTGGAACAAGTAATGGGAGCTCACTCCGTTATGTGGCACTAGGTATTGAAACCGCCGAACTGCCAACCTTTCTGATTGACAAGCTAAGTGTATTAGCCACTGAGCCACAGCGTCCCTCCAAGTTGCTGATAAGGAAGTGTAAAGCCCTACACAGCATGGGATCAGGATATTTGAGGGATCCCATCTCCCTGGTTACAATCTCATCATGTCTGGCAGGGTAGACATGTTGAGGCAAGAAGATAACTTTTTCTGCCATGGCATCCACACTTTTTAACATAAAACCAACCAGCTTTTGGGAAAACTCTGAAAACAGGGTTCTGCCATCATGCTTGGGGGTGAGCTGGTAGTGGAGAGCCTCTTCAATGCCTGTAAGGATGAGGCACTGACTGAACACTAATTTTTCTGTTTTTAATGTGTTTTCATTGAGGGTTTGTTTTTGTTGTTGTTAGTTGTGAAGTTGTATCCAACACATTGCAAGCCCATGGGCAAAGTTCCTCCATGCCTTCCTGTCCTCTACCATCTTCCTGAGTCCATTTAAGCTCATGCTTACTGCTTCAGTGACTCCAGTGAGTCCTTCCTTCTCCTTAGGTGGAGTACTGGAGTTTCCTCTTCAGGATCTGGCCTTCTAAAGAGCAGTCAGGGTTGACCTCCTCTAGGACTGACCGGTTTGATCACTGTGCAGTCTAAGGGACTCGCAGGAGTCTCCTCCAGCACCAGAGTTCAAAAGCCTCTATTCTTTGGCCCTCAGCCTGTCTTATGATCTTTATGATCTACCTTTCACAGCCATCCATTGCA